GAAAAACTATAACTGCACTCCTTAGCCTGAATCTAAGATTCTCCAAGCCGCTCATATCCAAATTTAAAACAAAGAGACTGGAATTTACCATTGATACAGCATTGCGTTGAATGCTTCCACTTCAAAGCTGTTCAAAGAAAATCTCCATCGCTCTTTCACCCCTTAAACCTAACCCCGAGTATATAGAATGACAACAATACGACTCTTTTGCTGGATCAAATAATTCCAGCCTCAGCCATATGTCAACTTGGCTACAAATGGTTAGAAACTATACCTAATTCTAATTTAGGCTTGTTTATTAACCAACGAAGAACTTAGAATAGCTATATGTCTTCGTTGAAATCGTAATGCCGACATCATGTGTCCCTTGTGAAACTCATATCTATAACCTCCCATACTGTCGTTTTTCAAAAGGCAAATTATCCAGGCACTATGCCATCAATGAGATCTTGAAATCCGCAAATATTCCTTCTACTCTGGAACTTACTGGCTTCAGTCCTGATGGAATAACGCGAGTCCCTTGGAACCAAGGTATACCCCTCGCTTGGGATTATACATTTGTAGATCGTTTTGCCAGATCTTTTTATTTTAACTATTACGAAAGCTGAAATTACAAAAACAAATAAATATAGCCACCTTAATAATCTTTTGTTTGTTCCGGTAGTCTCAGTCACCTGTGGATTATTTGGACCCCAAGCCCTAAAATTATTCAAAACAATAGGGCAAAACGTTTAATCACAGGTGATCCAAAAAAGGCTTCTACCCAGAAATGTGAACCCTAACCCGGACCTTGAACCCTCGTATTTTAGCTGTACCCGGACCCTTTTTAAAAATAGAGGGTTCAAGGGTTCTAGGTGTCATAAAAAATTTTTTAAATAAAATATTTTTTTAAAAAATAATATAAATTTTTTTAAATTTTATTAACTTTTTTTGTGGAATCATTTATTTTATCTTCGCGTTTTCTTTCAATTTTCTTCCTGGACTTCCATTATATTTAGAGATTGATATCATAAATTATTTCTAGTGCAATAATATTTTATTATGTAAATTTATTAATATGTTATATTATAGAAATTTGTTGATTATTTTGAAAGTGAATTATTTTGTAGTATAAGTAATAATATTTTAATTTAAATGATAATTCACAACACTTGGTCTTCAATTTGTATGAAGCTAGAACGATGATTGAGTTTGAAAGATTTCTGTAATGATTTTATTATAGGAGCATCATGTGAAGTCATTTTGTCGGAAGATGATTGGTGCCAAATAAAGGACCTTACTAGTGTATTAGTTCCTTTAACAATATTAAGACAATCAGAACAATTATGTTTATTTGATTTTAAGGCATATGGATTAGATGCCGATTAGATTTAGAAAAATTTACAGTCCTTTTTATGCGAAATATTAGAAAACATGAAAATTCGAGAGCAACAATATTTGCATGTTATATTCTTCTATATATTTAGCCCGATATCAAGTTTTATTGAGTATTGAGCAAAAACAAATGGCTAAAGACCATCTTAAGGATTTATGGCATAAGCAAAACTCCATTATTTACAATTATTGGAGGCTACGACAATACCTATTGGTTGTAGTGATAATAATAATGATAGCAACATTGATGATCTTGAAATTTTCTTTTAGGTAGAAAAAAAAATTAATTTATCATCAGATAGAAAGGAGGATCAAAAAAATGCCTATTACATCTTTAGTAGAAAAGTTCTCAGAAGTTAAGAGAATAAATAAGGATACAAATATTTTAAAATTCTGGTAAGAAAATTCTTCAATATATTCAGAATTATATCTTGTCTAGAATCGTCTTGGCTGTACCGGTCACACAAGTACAATAATATATGTATTATAAAGATAACTATCTATTTTTGGTAAGCGTAGAACATGGATTTTTATCTTTAAAATATATTGTCTAATTTATTGTGAGATTGAATAAAATATTTAAAATATAATGTAAATTATGAATATGTATATATTGAAGTATAATAATAAATGAATAAATTTTTTTTATTTTGAGTCATTATTTTTATGTACCCGGACCTGGACCCTTTTTTTTATGTCGAAGGGTTCACATCCCTGCAAAGAATATCAATTAAAATTTGTCATTCCAAATGTATATCTATACATGGATCATTAAACCCCGCCGACCAAACTTAGATACGTAATTTATTTTAATTTCCCTTCTTTTAACCCTTTGACGCCCAACTTTTTATTAATTAAAAAAAAATTTTTTTTTTTATAATATTCATTTATACACTCCATAGATGCCTAATATTTATTTCAACTTTTATTTTTAAATATACAGTTAAAAAAAATGATGATGCCAAATCAAATCATCAAGCTTTTGTGTAATAAAAAAATACAAATATTTATTTATTATGAAAATGTCGAAAACAATTTCTAAATTGATTAAAACATAAATATATATTACATTTTCCACATTTTGTTCTTGAGTATGCATTTATGCATAACTTGCACCTTTGCCTAGTTTTGCAGGAATCTGGCCAATGACCTATGTTATCATATCTGATATAGGAGCCATGATAGAAGAAATTTTTTTTAAATCGGTTTATTTAAAGGTCTCCCTGATTTTCTTCTACTAGTTTTTCCTGCCGATAACAATGCTTTAACAATATGTGTTTTAAATTGTATAAGTTTCATGATTTTATTCTCCTTTTCATGGCATATTTGCCGTTTATACAAAAGCCATGAATTTACTACACACATATCTATGAGATAAAAAATAATTCTTTTCCTTTGATATCTACTCTATAGCATTCAACAGGCATATTGTGTAAATCGACTCCTCCCATACCTTCATTATATATTTTTAATACATTTGGTCTTGGAACTTCAATATATTCTTCGCAAAAGAGTTTATGATTTTGAAATTTCGGGATATTTTTAGCCAATTGAAGGACTATATCACCACTTATCCCTAATTCTGAGTGTGTTGGATTAGTTTGCTTTCCCGCATAAATCTTAAAATCATATACAATACCGGAGGATCCAGCTAATGCAAAAATTTTGATACCCCATTTGTGAGGCTTCGATTTTATATATTGTTTTAAAGAATTCCGCCCTTTGAACGGGATGATTAATTCATCAACACATACTCTTTCCTCCATCTCTAATTTTTGCATATTATTTTGAATCTCTTTAATAAATGACCTAATTTTAAAACATTTATCATATCCATCTTGATTTCTTGGGATAAGTTGAGAATTATCATTAAAATGTAAATATTTTCGCAATATTTGTAACCTGGTTCGAGACATAGTTTCCGTAATTTGAGGGAACGCTAATTCTGCAGACCAATACTGTCTTTATGAAGGAACTTTGACCAAAGAAGAAAAAAGATGTGTGCCTATAAATTGTTCTAATTCATTTATATCTAGATTTAGCGATCGATTTATTTGCTGAAAACTGTATAAATTACTGTTCACATATATTATTTAGTATATTTTTGAAATAAATAATTTGGAGTATTGATACGGAGTTAATATATTGGTTGAAGTGGAAAATTTAATAGCATAATTTGTGTCCAATTGATGTATATCACCTACTCTCCATTTCATATTATTTTGAATGATAATGTTATTATTAATTTCTCTATCTCGATTTGAAGATTATTAGATATTGGAGTTGATGAAGTTGATGGGGTATCATCGTAGATAGTATTCAAATTAAATTCCTCATGATCTGATTCATCGATATCAGCTTCCGAAATATCTCCCTCCACTATTAATAAATTATTTAGCATCTATAAATTATATAAGAATCATTTTAAAAAATATAATAAATGTAAAATTATAATATAAGTCAGAAGATATAGGTCTTATGAACACCAAATTCGAAAATGGTATGGTCTGATTGGATTTAGAATACATTTTATGTAAAATTTAATTATAACTATAGAAAACCATTATAAATATAAAACGAAAAAAAATATTTAAAAGTTGTATTCTAAAATCCCATTGACTTATTTTGGCATCATGCACTTTGAGTTGATATAAAAAAGAGCATAGTCATTTTTAATAAAATAATTGATCATAATATTATACTCTTACCTTTAATAATTAATAAGAATTTTAGGAATAATATATATTTTCCACAGAATATGTTTTATTGTCGTTATAAAATCATAAAATTCAGTAAAATGGAAAAAAAAAATTATGAAAATATTATTGGTTCAAATTTAAAAATAAAAAAATATACGTTATTAATTTTAAGAAAATGCGAAAGTATTTTTATTATATTTATATCATATGATGTTAAATTAAATCTATAGGCTTTTATAAATTTAAAATATTTAATTATATTACATGATGTCAAAACAAATCGTGTGACGTCAAAGGGTTAATTATATATTTTTACATAGAATATAGATATTATTATAATTTTAATCAATAGTTATATTATTTTAAAAAAAAACATTTTAAAAATAAAATTAATTTCTGGAATATATTATTTAGAATTATTCATATATATTTTTAAAAGTAACTATATATTTTTAAAAGTAACTATATATTTTTAAAGTAACTAGTTTTGGCAGTTACATTTCAAAAAATATAACTAGTTACAGTTATTTTTTAGAAAAATTACTTGTAACTAGTTACTTTAGGAACACTATTAAATATGTATATTTTTTTTCTTCTTTTAAATATATATTTTATAAAATATAGATATGATATGTTATTGTTAATATTTATAATCAAAAAAATTTATCTTATTTTAATCTTTTTTAATATAATTTATTAAAAAGAATAAAATAAATAGTTGTATATTTATTAAAAGCTAGTTGATATTAAGACTTGTAATTTGACCAAATTTGGAAAATAATATGATAAATTGTTTGAGATATGATGAAATTTTAATCTGATAATGTTAACAACTTTGCAATGATTACTCCAGAGAAGAAATATATACCAATAAATATTTCAAATATAACACATTTAATTTTATCTTTAAAAAAAATATTTATAAAGTTTTATGGGCATTTTCTTATTGGCTTGAAGATAATATACCTATATTTATTAGTATATCATGTTTCCTGATTATCGTATTTCGTTCAGAATTAATCATACTTATCTCAATTTTGACTATTATGTCTATATTTCATGCTTCAAAGCGTGATTTTTATTTTTTTAATAACAACATAAATAATGTTAACAATAATTATAACAAGAACAAATATAAAACATCTCAAACCAAAAATATTATTCTACAAATTTTAAAAGCTGGTATCCTATCATCAATATTATCATTAGGTAACAATTTTTTAATATAATTTATCTCATTCCTTCTTGTAGCGTTGACTCTATTAATAGACTCTTATTTTTGGCAAAGCTGGGTGTGGCCGGAAGGGTATGTTCTTTGGTACAACACCTATATGAACAAAAGCTCAAATTGGGGTGTAAGTTTTTACATATACATATTATATTCTGAAATTGAAAAAATATCATTAAATATAATTCTTAAAATGTAGACTCTCCCCTATGGGTGGTATTTTTATTCTGCCATTCCTAGATGTCTCTTATCCTCTTTATTTTTTGTGCTTTCACCTATGATATACCGTTTAAATGCCTTGAAACTTTTCAAAAACCGAAATTCAACTAATTCAAATTCGAACAACTATAATAATTCTAACTTTAATCATTATAACTCCAAAAATAATTGCAACAACTACATATACTTCAATAAGCATTCGAAATTTTATGGGGGCCATCATTCTAACGTTTATCATGATTCCATTGATCAATCAAAGTCGTCTTACAAATCATCGAAAAATGAAGTGAAAATAGCTTCAAAATTGATCGAAATTTTTTTTATCCCGTCGATACTTTACCTCGCTATTTATTCACTTTTGCCCCATAAAGAATTGCGGTTTGTTTTTTACGTCGTACCATTACTCAATGTGCTTGCAGCCCATGGATGCCATTCATTGTAAGTTTTGATATACTCCCTATTAACTGATTTAAATAAAACTCTCTAACCCCCTCCCCCCTACCCCTATCAACGACACAGGAATTAGAGATCTGCAAAATTAGGCCCGGCCCGAACTTGGAAATTTTATTAAATATATCTAAATTTATCAATTTTATATTATATTTTTTATGTAAAATAAAAATTATTTTAATAAAATAATGAGAATGAATAAGAAGCATGCTCTGGATTAATTTTTAGTTTACAATTAGTAAAAACCAGTTAATGATCACCAACCAACAATTAAAATTTGCCTATATAAAACGAAAATTATAAAATAATATAATTTAACTATACAAAAACAATAGACTTAAAAAATATTTATTTTGAATACAACAGTTTTGGAGTTGTTCTTGACGTAAACATTGAGGATTTTATTTTTAATATCAATATTTAGGATTTTTAAATATTTTTATCAAACCTTATATTCTTGGACATAAATCAGTTAGACCTATTTCGTTTGCGTCATATTGCTCAGCAAAAATAAAAGAAAAAATAAATTATAACCAATATTTCTTAAAATTTAAGGAGGATAGGGATTTATATAAATATTTTAAAAAGGAAATAATTTTAGTATAATTTTTTTATACCACATCTTAAATTCTCATAAAGTCAAACTACCCCCCCCCCCCCCACCCCTTCCCAATCGCTAATGAATAACTGCGTAATACCTCCCATCTCCCCATGGTAGAGCGTCCTACACTCACCTCATAAGATTTTTATATTTGATATGGATACTAATATACACTACACCTCTGAACCTTAATTTTATGTGTTATATTCAAAATAAGTGAAAGACGAAAGAATGAAAATAAATATCAAAATGATATTTAATCCGGTTTCTGTAAGGTCCAGTCTTATTCATTTAGATCGTATAACCATTTTTTAAATAATTTAAATCTTGTAACTATTGGCTTAGGAGCTTTTATTGCTAATTTGAATTTCTTTAATTTTAGATTTTTAATATAATAAATTTTTTTAAGCCCCCCCCCCCCCCCGCTGGCCTAAATAATAATGTTTTACAAATCAGAATAAGTATATTACCGAGTTATGGAAGAAAAACTATATTTTACTATGTATTATGGGTTAGATGGAATTGGGGATTTCACGCAGCCAACCAGAAAGGGCGCAGCAATAACTTTAATAATCATAATAACCGACACCGGCACCCTGCTTACTCCTTTTACTTTACCTCGCTTTTTAAGTCGACAACCGTTTTGGTTCACTTGAACGTGAATGTCATACTAACACTCATTTTTCTTGAAGCCTCGCGCAATAATTACCCAGGAGCCAAGGCCCTTATGAGATTACAAGTTTCTCGTCAAATCGATATATATCAAAGTCATTTACAATACATTTATTAATATTTTTTCTAATTTAGGAGCAAGATATTTTTTATAAAATTTTGAAGAATATTAATTTATTTTCAAATTTTTGTTTTAATTTTACAATTCGAAATAGATTCTGTAATTTATTTAATATGATAATAAATTAAATATTAAATCATAAGATCACACGGTATACATGGACACGTACGCTTGTCAGAACGGCATATCTAAATTTTCACAATTGTACCATCATTGGAAGTAAAATTTAATTGATATTCTTTTCTATTTTAAAATTTATATATGAGATGTATTATTTTGACAGCAAATTAATTATAAAATGTTAGCCCAAATTGAACTCATTTTGTTCCGATTCATAGTTTTAAATTACGAATCCTCTATCAATAGTTTAATCATATGGTCTAATTTTTTTTATAATCAATTTCGCAAATAATATCCCTTAATTAAAAAATAAATCCGAGCCAGGTCTAAAATTTTTTTAAAAAAAATACCTTCTTTTTTTATAATTTCGGGTCAGTCCTAATATTTCAAATTGCTATATATATATTATATATAAAATAATAGGATGAAATTAAATAAAATTTTGTTAAAAATTGTTGCATAATTGAATAACATATCACTTTATCATTTCAAAACTAAATTTTATCGAAAGTTTTTTAACTAAGGCCTGGCTGGGCTTACAAATCTAGGCCGGGCCGTGCAATTGGTAACTGCAGTTCTGATATATATATATATATATTAAAAAAAATTTTAACCGATTAACAGTCTGATTTATAATAGAAAAATACCAATCCAGTCACATGTGCCTCGAATTAGCATAACAAAATTTATGCAATATTTCAATAACGCCTGCATTGAACCATTTATACATCAAAACCGATTCGTTACCGATGTTAATTTAAATTATTGTTGTCTACATTTTTATCAGTATATCCCTAATAATAGAAAAGACCATTAACCGTAATATTGTTCTATTATATAATGTTAACTTTTGAATGAAAATCAGCTGAAATTACACAATTCATATTCCTACTTATCTCCAATATTACATCCAAGTATTCTCACCTATTTTTGACATTAGTGTTATTAATTTGAACTCGGACCACATACCCGTGGTTTAGACTCCGGGTATAGATGAATAATGTTATTCCAAATAGTTCAAACAGAAATTATTTACCAAAAGTCTTTTCTGAGGTTATATAGTAAAACCCTGCTAGGCAACTAAGCTTCGGGTTAAAACAATTTTAATCGGGTTCACCTAGGGTTTATGCCAAAAAATTAGTTTATATGATTGTTAATCTAGCGCTTATTTCCAGCCATCCCAGAAAAACTCTATTTTATCCTTTATTTAGAAATAAAAGTGATTTATCGAATCGTATCAAAAGTGATAATTAGTATTAAATTTTTTATACAAAAATTAAAATGCTTTTTATTAAAATTTTTAAATTAAAATATTTTCAGACTCAGGGCGAATAGGAAGATGTTAGTGCCTAAAAATCAATATAGGTATGACTGAGATAGGGTTTTATAATAAATTGAAATGGGCTCAGGCTAAAAAAATTGAATTTGCAGAACTCTACCTCAGAGTAGACATTTTTTTTTACCTCTTTCACAGTGCGAATTTTGCGGCGTATACAAAAATGAATGAAATTTTTGTAATTATTGATTTCAGGATTCAGAAAAAATATAATTATTATTAAATGTAATAATGTGATGTGATTCAATGTAAATTAATTAAAATAACACATTTACTTTTAAAAACTTGCAAGAAAATGTTGAGAAAAACATTATTATATTTATAATCTTCTGGTAATTTAAGTAATTAAAACTTCTAATAATTCTTTTTTAAATTTGCGACAATTAATTTTAAACTTTTATTATTTTTTTAAATTATGGTCTCAAAAAATACACGATTATAGAAGGGGCATTTACAGGAATAAAATTTAAAACTTACCCGGATGAATTATCATCCATTTTGCCATTGAATTCACTCATAATTATGATAATGCGACTATTCATCGTGCCCATATAATAACTCAAAATTATTAAAATATAGAATATCTTTCATTTTATTCTCCGCAACTAAACTCCTTTAAAAAAAATTTTGGCATTTTGAAAAATGAATATTGATATCCCAAACCAATTAACAGAATTCATATAATCTAGGCAATTGCTAGCCTTTTGCTCAATTTCAATAATTATGATTACACAGCCTTCTACTTACATACGATACCATATATCGAAGAGGGAATCCGATCTATTCCTTTGAACAACTAATTTAATAGATAATTACACTAGATTATTATATAATATAGATATTTTTTGTTATATTATGTGCAATACAAATTGAAAAATAAATATACATTAATTAAAAATTTCACAAGTCATTTTCGAAACTATAATATAAGAAAGAGAAATTTAATATAAAATAAAATAAACAATGAAAAAATAAGTTAAAAAATTATCATAATTTGACCTTAAGTTTTACCCAAAAAGAAATTGTGTATTTTTTAACTCATTCAAAAAGTCTTCCAGTTTATAGATAGAATTAATTTTTAAAAAAACTTCTGTATCAAATTTTAAAGAAAAAAAAGATTATTTTAAATTTTTTTATAAATAGCAAATGTTTTATTTTAATTATTTTTGCAAACAAAATATTTTTATCTGGATGGGTTTTAATTTAATCTTCAACTTGTTTCATTAAATCATCACAACACTGTATAGAGAAAATTTAAAAAAAATTTTTTTTTTATTCAATTCTTCAACTTAACTGTAATTTTAAAAATGAAATAAATCGAATATAATAATTTTATGGCCCCAAATATTTAAAACAAAAAATACAAATTATTTAAATTCAGTATTTACGTTTATTTTTATATTTAATCTTTTTTTAAAAGAATGAAATATATTAAAAATAAATGTTAAGGGATAGGTTCTAAATCGCTAAAAATTTGGGATCTTGTTCGAGAGCATTTTCCTTTTAGCTCTGAGTTCGGAAATATTTAAATTTAAGACTAATCCTGATCCCAGAAAAATTCTTTATTTAGAAAACAAAGTTATTTTTCATACTGTTGCAAAAGTCGTATCTTATAGCTGAAAATAATCGCTCGGCTAACCAACATAATAACTCATTTTAATCCTGTTTTTTTGGTATTTTTAAATCCTAGGTAGACCCGATAAAAATTTTTTAACCCGAAACTGAGTTGCTTGCAGGGCTTTTCAGTCTAACCCCCAGAAAACACCATTGCGTTTAGCTGCATATTTACTTTCGGTATATAATTTTTATTTGAACTATTTGGAATAACATTATTCATCTGAACCCTGAGTCTGAACTCTGGGTTTGTGCTCAGAGCTGGTTTAGTCGATTTTTAGACCCGTCAATTCGAATGGATATTTTTTGCCCAGTTTTGGAGTTTATTGTGGATAGCACCTTCCTGCATTTAAAATTTTTTAAATTTCTGTATAACACATAAAAAAATTAAAATCTTTTGGGAGATCTGAATTTCTCTGAAAAATTACAGTTTATAATATCTTTCGTTGTTTTATATTTAATAGCTCTTTTTAGAATCTGTCTTCTTTTCAAATTGATTTTTACGGGAAAAATATATTACAATCAAACTCAAAATCTTATTTGGAAATGATCACTCAAAATATAACAAAAAATATGGTTAAATTATTTCAAAGATGAAAAGTAATGTGTGAAATTAATAAAAGTTAATTTAAAAATAACAATTTAACTTTAAAATAAAATAGAAATATGACCTTAGGTAATAATAAAATTAAATAATAAATTCTCAACATTCTCTTCTTTAATAGAACGTCATTATATATTCCTTGATCATCAACAGTAGCGATTATGGATTACGTTACTTCTCATATGCGTCTCATGGTGTTGCCAATGATGTGCATCGTTTACATAACGTAGTCTTAAAAACTTTTGGGCAATTGCCTGAATCTAGTAGGTCTTGGTTTTCCTGCGTTGTATTATTTATAACTTGTTCCTTCTTGCTTACTCTTCCCTTCCTGTAAAATTACAGTTGGTCTTATTAGTTTGAAATGTGGGTTATGTTGTTGTGCCTGTTCGATGCACATTATTATTTTTATACCAAATTTCATCACCTTCATATATGGTACGATTATGTGATATAGTTATCGGATTTTTATTTTCACTCTTTTCAAACGGTTTTAACAAGTCGCATTTTGTTCGTGGGGTTCGACTAAATAAAAAATTTGCTCGGCATGATGCCCATTGTGGCATTTGGTGTATTTCGATATTTGAGCAAAAAATAAAGCGATGTCTATATTTTTATTGACTTTCTCCATATTCTTTCTTATGTGTAAAGATTATATTTTTTACGCATAACTTATTTTGCAGAATTTGTGCATAAGGTCACTTAAATGATTTATTCTTTAAATAATAGGATGTATGGGTGATTTCGGAACTTTGATAAAAGATATTTTGTGAAGTAATATATTTAATTTGGTTGATTATCATTTGCAGATGTAAAGTTGAAATGATTTAATGATCTTGACACCCTTTAATCTTTCTTTTCCTTGAAGCAGATTTTTTGGACTATATTATTTTTGATGTTGCATTATTATCTTAAACTTAGTTTCATATGAGTTTTTATGGCAGCTTTACGCTTTAGTTGTATACTAAGTCAGCCTTTTTGATATTTATTCGTCAAAAGATTCTTCTATCCTATAACAACTTTTTTAAATGATGTTCTTAAAAGCATGTAATAAAAATCTTCCTAAAGTCATTTCCAAACAGAAGGATTTCAAATACTAGCTTTTTTTTTATTTCCAAACAAAGGATAATAATTTGTTGAATTGTTATTTTTTTATATAATATAATATTTTTATTAATAAACAATGCTGAGCTCCATTTCACAGACGTTATTCTCGTAAAAACCTTTGAAAAAGCGTTATGCCTGTGAGTGGCCTAACAATAGCTTTTTGTCATTGTCCACCACTAATGCTTCTTCTTGAGCTTCACCCTTATAAAATACACTAATTTGTGATATGGCGATGATTTGAATTGTATTACAATCGTAAGCCAATAGTTTTAAGTTAGTTTTCTCAAACATGGATATCCCTGATTCCTTAGCTGTTATCTGTAGTATCGCAAATTACGTTCCAGTATCGATTTGCATCTCTGTGGGTACATTGTTAATTTTTTTTATAATGTCTTATGAATCATAAATATTGTCGTCGGCCTACATGTTTTTTACATCTAAACTAGTAAATTATATTCTTTCGTGTTTCATTTTGTCTTCAATCTCCTCTATGATTCGAATAGAGGGCTTGAATTCTATCGCTATAAAATTGGTTCATGTTGTGTAGCTATTGTTATAATTGAATCTCAGACATAATCTTGGGAAACTTGCTGTTTTGAATATTGAATATATGGCTATCGTAACATGGATAATCCGTATTGATTGTGACACCTGCGGTTATCGTGGATAATTTTTTACATTGTAGTGGTTGTCGTAAAGGTTGTCATGCTGATTATAGTGGCGGTTGTCATAGCCATTGTTTTAACGATTGTCGTAACGGGGATGCTGTTTCCTTAACTGCTCTCCTATATAACCGTCGTGGCATAAATTATTAGTTGTTTTATGCGAGTCCTGCGTATTCCTCATTTTCAAACTGTTTTATCTCGGTATCAGCTTGCATCTGACCATTTATATGTGTCTCCTCTATCTTGGATATAATTTTTTCCTCAATAAGCTCTGGTTCATCAACCCTGATGCCGATGTTTTAGGCCTCGTTTAACCATGCTCTCTCTTGCTTAACCTGTGTCTTTCTTTCTTTCTTTCTTTCTTTCTTTCTTTCTTTCTTTCTTTCTTTCTTTCTTTCTTTCTTTCTTTCTTTCTTTCTTTCTTTCTTTCTTTGTCTTACTTCTTTTGATGAAGTCACGCTTCTTAGTTTCTCGATCCTTTCGCCCTGGAAATTTGCATTTTTTACTCAAATGTCTAACGCGAGCCACCCAATGAGAGTACGTTTCCTCCTTATTTGGACTGTTGCATGGAATTCGGCTATCTTGACGCTTGTCGTCTTGGTGGTATACTAACTTGAACTTGAATTTCCTTATTTGGGATAAGGGAGCGAGTTCGGTTTCCATATAAACTACATCGATATTAAGGTATTTGTCATCTTGAATTACGCAGAAACGCGGCAAACCTTTCGTAGTCGGAATTGTAAATCATATACGATGGTGTTGCTTCAATAAAAATACTTAAATTTTTTTTTTATAACCGCATAACCTTTACAATTAGCTGAATCGAACCTTTATAAAAAAAAATTTTCTTAAGAACCGTAACCTAACGGTAACCATTATGAATTTTTAAATACTTAACTGTAGCCAAACTGAACCGTAAAAAATAAAGATTCAGTTCCTGAAAACTAATAAACATTCACTATAAATGCCTTTTGTGTTTCTCAAGCATTGATGAGGTAAGTGAGCAGTATTTTGAAGAAATGGTCATATATATGCACTGCTATGGTAAGCTCATTGTCTTGGCATCCTTCTGCAAATCAGTACCTTAATCTATCAAGTTTGCAGGTTTTGACATTTTCTTCTATTATTCATTATAATGAATTAATTTATGGAATTAAAAATAGGGTCAGAATGTAAAAATATTGATGCCTTAATTTCTTTACACTAAGGAAAGAATCTTAAATAAAAACGATAATGGAGGTGAAACTCGTAAAGTTTTCTGATTTTCATTAGTCATTTGCCTCTTTGCCGTCTTACCAAATGGGACTTTGATTATCGCCCCCCCGCCATTTAGTGTCAACTTTTAATTACTCGATTTCTTCGCCTTTCGAGTTAATCAATCCATTTCTGGATTCGGGGCTTACTTTAGTTAACACAGGTTCCGACCACCCCGTTTCCAGCCATAAAAAGCTTCAATGGCTAGACATGATCCCGAGTAGGAAAAAGGAAATGTACCCACGAACGATGAGTTATAAATTGCCATTGGCTGTAGACTGTTCTCTTATTCCGTCCGATGACATTTGTGCTGTTTAAATAAGCAATAATCCATTTTCTAGACATTGTTTCCCTTGTCTTAAAGTCAGCGCCCGCTTTTTGCTGCATGACAATCTGAATAGATTTATAGGCAAATCTTTCATTTCTCCAAATTCCCCTAGGCTAGGTTGCCTGATTCCATTTGTTGACATTAATAAGCAAGATTATTTATTTTTTAAGCATTGTTTCTGTCTTCAGCGGCCGATTTTTGCGGCATGACAATTTAAATAGGGGGATCGGCAAATTATTAATTTCCTACGATTTCTCCAATGGTTTAGAAACTTTAGGCCTTTTAAATGAGGATGCAATGCGTCCCCTCATTTCCCTCCAATATAAATTCTGACTTCCTTTAATACACGGCAAGACTTCCTACCATCCTCTTCATCAATAATAAAGTTAACAACGCTTATTTTTTTAAACATGCCTTTTGATTTGATTTTAACGTTTTCATTTTTCATCCTTTTTATATATATATGTTATTTTATAATTAAAAATGAATTATATATCATATAAAATTTAAATTATTTATAAAATATATAAATCAAAAGACTTTAAATTGTGTTCAACAATTATAATATTAATTATTTTTCTTAGTAAGAATAATATTTTTTTTAAAACAACTTTTTTGGGTATAAAAAAATTTTCAGAAGGCTCTATTAATTTTATTTAAGAATTTTTTAGCAAAAAAGGGAAACAACAATGCTTCCCTTGCTTCTATGGACGCTTCGTCATTGATGTATACCATGGTAATCACATCACCTGTCAGATTAATATATTTAAATTTTATTAAAAACATTAATAATTTTTCCTATAATAATTTTAATATTCGATCAAATTATTTAAATAATTCTTTATCCGTATCCTCTAAACGAATAATATAATTAACAATTTTATTCTTTATTATTCGATTCGTTTTTGAATAGGACCTATAGTACACATTATTAGATTTATATTCTTTAAATTTTACTATTATTCAAAGTAAACCTTCTTTTTACCTTAAAAATGCTACTTATTTAGGTACGTTAAAACGGAAAATATATCTGATCTACAAATATCCTCTTTTGAATATCTGATAATGCAAAATGAACCCACCTTGCTCGCTAAATTTATCCAAACACGCCAGATAAATCCTGAAAACGAACCAAACCTTACTAAAAATGATATGCAACATTTTAAAGTCTTATTCACCGTTGATGGTGTGAATTTGCAACCTGGATTTGCGTTGATTATAAGCAAGGTCTTAGAAATAATCATGAAGCTCCTTGAACATATGACGAAAAGTCCCACGTTGTCCTGGCCTTCTTCACACGAATTTAGGCATGAGATTGCCATGTTAAAAAATTTTATTTTACCTTTGCAACCAAAAATCGTGGTTTTAGCTAATACCGCACTCGTAAAATAATTATATGAACCGGGATAAATACATTTAGAATTTTGATGTTATTTATTTAATCTTCGATTATAATGATTTATTTTACATATTCACCAAAAATTAAATATTCATTTATCTTATATTGTTTTAAAGTCAGGAAATAAATTTATTCGAATTGAAGTGCCAAAAAATATTCATTATTTATCTGATCGTTATTTTATCTCTATAACGTACTAAAAATTAAATATTTTCTTAAACAGCCGAAATTCCTATATATCTTTATGATTTTTGATTCTATAGGAATTATTGTTGAGACAATTATTTCATTAAATGATCCGATTTTTCAGAAATTAAAAGTCTTATGTTTTTCCTATAATATAATTAATAGTTTATCAATTTTAGGCCCTCCTCACTAGATTTAAAAAAATCATATTTTACTACAAATCATGATTAATTTTTTAATAAATTTATTTAAGAATTTAAATAAAATATTTTCAATTGGAGAAGACATAGTACAACATTTTACATAAAAATTAAAAATGCTATTACCCCAAGTCAAAATCTAGTTATTCAAATATACTTCAATGTGTATCTGAGAGGGGATAATCAGCCGATAAACACGTGCACTTATTTAGGGACACTGTTACAAAGCGATGGGTAAATAAATTGACAATGAAAAAGGTAATCTGGGTTAAATGGCTAGAAATAAGAAAGATTTTGTTAATAAATGTCTACCTCATACATTAAAATTAATGTAGATAGAACATAGTTCTGCAAGGCTCTGCCCGTTTCAATCCTTTGTGATTTATTTTTTGCATAAGTTTCCCGGCCTATTTAAATTTTGTCTGGCTCGCCCGATCAGGATAATTTTTTTTTTTTACTAATTTTCTGTTCCAAATTTTTTTGTATAAATTTTCCGGCCATTACATTTTAAATGTCTTTATAATTTTTCCCCAATGTCAATTAAGGCTCTTTTATCTTCACTCTTATCTATTTTCAATTAAGTTTAATAATTTTGGAAGACTCAACAAGTGTTATTAATTATATAGATAAACGTTTTTTTCTTCTAGATCACACTACATCAACATGCATAAAGTTATTTGCTCAGTATTTACAATCAACAGAATCCAATCATTTAACAGATATATAGTAATTTAAAATAAAAACGGCCTTCCCTCTCCTATAATGTTATTAAATATAGCTTTAGTTTATGGGTGTCGCATCTTAATTTGTCCCATTCCCTTTCAATTTAGCCTACAGACGTTTAAATAATAATCCTTGGACTACTCTGTGTAGAAGTACGTGCGGTTTACCCGCAAACGTATAAAAGGCTTCTCGTATTTTTTTACAGAAATTTTTTATTAACACCTAATTAAATGTATCTAGCGTAGCTCTGTTGTACCTACAACCTCTGAGGGCGAATACGCTTTTTCACATATAATTGGATAATATCCTTAATAATTGTTTAATTTTTTGTGAATTTAGTATTTAGTTAGCCAGTTCTTAATACAAAGAAATAAAACTATTGTAATTTCCAAATATTTATTAAAATATTCGCTTGAAATTCAAAAAAAAATATCAGTTTTTATACCCGGACTGGCCTGTTAAAATTTTACGAAATGTTCGGTCAGGTCATAATTCTCTATAAGATGGAAAATAATTATTTCGTTTGGCTATACAGTTCTTAAAATAAAAATAAACAAGTTTTTTCTTCATATTATTTCTAAGTAAATAAATTAAAATTGCTAGGTCCGGTTCGTTAATTTTTATGTACGAATTACCCATCCAATACAAACTCAACTCTCCGGAATAGTTGCGACATACTACAAATCAATTGACTCATTTTTTTGAGGAGATTAGAATTACTTGGTCATCGATTAAGACATTCACAAGAAAATATGGTATTTTCGTCGATGAAATGGACTCCAGATTATGGGAAGCAGAGAACTCCTGGTAAAATATATGAAGGACATGGATTTGATCAATCTTTCATTTGCAGATTTTTTGGCACTCAGCAAAAACAAAAAAAATCTAAAGAACACCTAAAATACATGCTTAGACATGGGCTGAACTAGAGCAGTAATCGTTAGGAGGAATGGGACTACTCTCGTACTTGCTTTTCCTTTCCCCACTTCTCTCGGAGTTGATTGACAATTTATGCTTTCGGCACAGGTTATTTTGGAAACTAATAGAATAAAGTATGATGAGGTTGATGGTAATTTTTCTCTTTTTTTTTCTTTTTGATAACCCTTTTCTTTTTCCTTTACTCTAATGGATGAACGATAGTGAAAACGACAATGATAACCATGGAAACGTTTATAATAAAAATGATAATGATCCCTTTCACTATAATAATAATGATAATGTTATAAATATGATGAGGATCCCCGTCGCTTGCTTAGTACAGAAGATTTATGGGACACGATATTGTCTCCAATGAGTGACAAGGAGGAATGAAAAATAAACAAAAGAAATAGAAAAACAGGAAAAAACACAAACGATAATTAGTGCTGTAAACATTTCTAAAAAATAGAACGCGTTTAACGTTCATTGACAAAAATTGAACGTTCATGTTCACTTTCAAAAAAAAAGGAATGCGTTCACGTTCGTTCAAAATTTTATAATTTTTTTTTTAAATTTAATTTAATATAAATAAATGTCATATTTTTTAATACATTATATTAGCCATGATAAAAAATAATATAGTTTTATTTTGATAATATAATCATAAATACAATATGATATCTATAAAAAAATTTTAATAACAAATGTTTTTCAAAATTATTATCTGATAGACAGGAACGATTCGCAATTAATACAAAATTAGCTATACTAAAAACGCGCTCTACAGGGACAGATGAAAAGATTGCGGTATTATACTTAATAAACAATTCCTTTAACGTGGGGAATTTATTAAAAACATTTATTGATTTGTCCTTTGCTTCAAAAAATAGTTATCCTCCATTCCATCCTCTACTTCCTCGTCAAAAAAAAGGATATCTCGAAATTAACAGTTCTTGCAAATATGCATTTTTTCAATAACGCTATAAGTTTATTTTTTATAGGTTTGTTCTGTGGAAGTTTTATCAATGGCCATTTAAGGTGTATAATTTCAGAAAGAATATATGGATATTCATATATATGTTTAAACAGGCGCGTACGCAGGAATTTGGTCTGGGGGGGGGGATAATAAATTTTTTTAAGAAATAATATTTTTAATTAAAAATACTAAGCATAAATTTATTAGGATTAATAACTTTTCTAATACACAATTTTAAACTAATGTGAATTAAAAAAATTATATATATAAACCGGCATTTAAATGTGAATCATAAAATATAAAGTGAATATAACCCACGATATGAATCACCTAAATGACCCAAAATTGAAATTTGAATTTTTTGAGCTTTTAAAATATATAAAGTATAAAAAATTTAAATGTTGTAAATATAAATTAATACACAAAAAGTTTCTTAGGAATAATTGTATTTTGTATGTTTTGAGCTAATTTTTCAATTATCAATCCTTGCTTGGCGTTAAATGTCTATGAATATTCAAAAGATCCAAATCATTCAATCTACTTTCAGATGTTGTATTTCATAGGTATGTTTTTCACAGACTTGCAGGCCCGGCCCCTGAGCCGGACCGTATTTTAATTTTTTTAAATATACCCGGGCCGGGCTCGTAATTTTTTTTTAAAAAACATCCGGGCTGGGCATGAAAATTTTTTAAGAAAAAATATCCGAGCCGAGTTGTATATTTTAAAACCAAATATTTGAAATCGCCATTATTAGCTATAAATATCAAAAATAAATATAATTTATTTTAAAAAATTCGGGCTAAGCCAGCCGGGCCGGGCCTGAAAATTTTTTTAAAAAAAACCCGGGCCGGAAAAAATTTTAAAATAAAATCTGGGCCTGGTCCTGCAAATGGTACCTCTGCAAGGCTCTGTTATTCTTCTTAAAAAAGTGAATGTTCTCTCATTAGTTTACTAAAGAGCTGCTAATATATATAACCATTTTAATAATTGGGAGTATAATCTAAAATGTGTTTGAAATAAAAAGCATCCATAGCATATAGTTAATCTTTTAATCATAGTTATTCAGCTAATAAGGCATCATAAGATATTTTAACATCTTCATGATAAAAATATAACAAATATTTATATTTTTTTTCTATCACCATATGAAAAAGGTTGGGAGAGGGGACATTTGTTTTATAATACTCTTCTACTGATCCTATATTAATGTTTTGATGATGAGCTTGCTTGCTGCAAGTCGAGGGGGACAAATATTTAACACGTATAGCTCTGCTTTTGACTCAACAATAACATATAAAATATTAAATTCCTAAACAACACTAGCTCTATTTCCTTGAGTTCTAATAAAATGCTCTCCGCTATTCTCATCTTCTTAATCAAGTCAATGTTATGTTTTTAAAAGTATTACATAAAATAGTTGTATAATTAAATAATACATTCTAATGAGAAAAAAAATTTGGAATAAGTATTGAATCCAATAATTTTCTTGCTTCTGAGGAAATATTTCTTTCAAGCCATTGTGATATTTCAGTAATAGCATTAATAATCAGCTCTTCTAACTCCAAAATAGCTGTTACTGTGGCGGAGACTCGATCTCGTTGGACAAGCTTGCAATTTTTTTCTCCCTGTTGGACAAGGAGTTTCAGAGATAATTATTATTTTATTAGAAATTTAGATAAATATTACGCCACTAAAATTTGAAAATAATAGGTAAATTACGCCAAGGAAAACTTGAAATCGAAATTGATTGATAAAATAACTTAGTAGATGAATGTGATAAATAAAATATATATATATATATATGTGTATATATGAGATAAGAATAAATATTAACAAATATAAATTAATATTAACAATAATATTTTTGGAAAATATAATCCGGCATCTGCATTTTTTGCCTTTGGGGGGGGGGGGGGATTTGTCCCCCTGCCCCCCCCCCCGCTGCGTACGCGCCTGTGTTCAAATCTTTAAAAAAATAAAATATATATAATAAATTTGATAGTGATAGGTTTAATACCTTTTATTAATCCCATATAATACTGCGTTTATCAATGGTTGACCATATTTTAGGCTATTATTTTTTTTTAATTTTAAAATAACTATCGTTATTGTTGGGGTTAAATAGCCCAAATGCA